TATCCATTTCCTCATTACAAACAGGATTACAGTATTTACTCCACACAAACCTCAGTGAACACAGGGTCCTGATTAGAGTCGCTATAGTCCCTGAACATACCAACTGCCTTCAGATACTCTCTAGCGCATGAGACCCTGTGGGGGTCCCTGGCCGACTGCTGCAGGTACTTCATGCTCATCTCATCGACTGGGAAGAACCCTATCGTAGCACCATACTCAGGACACATGTTACTGATGGTTGCTCTATTAGGAGAGGAAGAAAGATGATTATTTATAGCATAATGAGAGACAAAGTACTGTGTATAGAATGTATTCTAATCAGTCTCACCTGTCCGATATAGACAGCTGGCTTACTCCAGGACCAAAAAACTCTACAAAGCAACCCACGACACCAATTTGACGCAAATTCTATAAAAAGAAAAACACAAAAGCTTCATTAGCAATAAGTACTGTGAGACAATGAGTCAGCAAGAAATCTGCTGACTCACTCTGAACATGAGACATGATGATATAATGTGATGTGATCAGAATGTGAAGTGGTTTTAAAAGAAAGACTGCGACAATGATGATACTGTGTGGGGCTACATGACAATGATAATAACAGCTTAGCACAAGTACATACATACTCATGACACCCTCTAGATTACACTGATCACATAATGTCATCCTGCATTAAATTATATTACATCATGTCCATATACTATAGTCACATAGTAATTAATATAGTGTTACAGTACAGCCCATTAGTAATTAGAGTACATTATCATTTATAATAGTAAATAATAATACAGGTCACTTACTTTAGTTATGGTTAATACAACGTCGGTAGATGTAGCCATTGGATCAATCTCTCCAATTAACTTGTATCCAACAACTTTAGGAAGCACCATTGATATGGACTGGTCCAACATAACAGCTTCTGCCTCTATACCTCCCACACCTGGCATGAAAAGGAAAGGAAAAGGAAGTGTACATGTATTCAATTATAAATAAGCCTTAAACAGAAATTAAACACATGTATGTATACAATTAAAATATTAAACAGAGACAATACTATAAACAATAATGAGCTCATGTACCCCATCCAACAATTCCTAGTCCATTTATCATAGTTGTGTGTGAGTCAGTCCCAACCACTGTGTCTGGATAGAGGTATCCTTTATTCTCAAACACAACACGACCAAGAAACTCAAGGTTGACCTATTGTGAGTGAAAGAGAGGAGAGAGAGAGAGAGAGAGAGAGAGAGAGTTGTTTACAGAGGAACAGGTGTCAATAACAATTATTAGGAAGAGATAAGAAAAGGTCAAATAACTCATTAGCTTAATTATTATTATCCATTTTGGTACTAATGAATACTGACCTGATGGACAATTCCAGAATCTGGTGGTACTATTAACATATTAGAGAAGGGCCTTGGCTCCCCACTGAGAAAGAAAAGAGAAAGAACAAAGAAATGAGATAAGGATGATAGGATATACATGTACATGCAGTTCAAAAAAAC